CCGTGATTGATTAGCAATGTCTGCATGAACTTGGAAAAGCACAGTGGTACCATCCACTTGTCTTTCCAAGTTGAAAGTGTGTGGGATTATTACTATTATTATTATTATATTATTTCAAGGAAACCCAGAGTGAAGTTACATAGTTAAAGAAATACATATATATATATATATATACACACACACACACACACACACACACATATATGTGTGTGTAGAGAATGAGACATTGTATTTAATAACATGTCAACATATGCAGGTGTGACTTTCATTTTACAGCTACTTTAGGGGAAATGGAGAAAGAGACAAATGGGAGGAGAAATAGATGAGGATCAAAGAGGCTAGAGCCAGGAAACTGGACAACTAAGGGCTAAAACACTAAGGGTAGAAAAGCAAAGGTTCCTAAGCAGGTAGTAGAACGACCTGGGAGCACTCTCAGCTCACACACTGGGGGGACCACCCTAAACATTCCAACATGGAGAAGTTTTGTGTGGTCATGGGTCCATTAAGGAGACTACTCATCACCTCATGGCTTATTCCCTGCAGAATTCCTGGAGGAGCTGTTCATACAGACTTGTGATGTAGATGGTGTCCAGTAGGTTGACTCCTACCCTACTCACAGGGATCTCAGAAAAGGTCAAGTCTCCCTAGAAGGCCCAGCAGTGCTCAGCAGCCCATGAGCTCAGGAACCATGGCTAAAGCTCAGGAGATGAGACCAGCTCCATGCTGACCATCATCAGCGACGGAGACTCATGAGGTGTCTGGAATTCTAAAAAGGAGGTCACGAGTCCCAATGTTCAGACTTATGGGTGACAGAGGAAGGATTTGTGAACTTATTCCTCTCCTTCTTTGAGCCAGCAGGTGAGAAGGCATCAGGTGTGGGAGAAGGAGCTGATGTGTGCCCAGCACTGTGCCAAGCACATTGGTGTTTAATTTTCACTTGTTCTTCAAGAAAGCTGCTGATGCCTCATGTGACATTGGAGCTTAGTGAGGGTGAGTACTCTTCCCTGTTAGTAAATGCACAGTGAGAATTGAACCTGACTCAATTCCTTTTATCAGGAGATCATCTCAATCCCATTCTGCCTCCAAATGTAGGGAAGCTAGTATTCCTACTGGGGCCTGTGTCATAGAGGGCTCTGTTGATGGTATTGGGGTACAGCTCTACAGAATCAGTGAGGTCGGAGGGCTTTTCTAGCCATTCCTAATTCCACATGCATCCCAACCAGAACCTCTCCCCTCCCTGAGCCTG